AGGCCCCCAAGAGAGCCCCGAGACGGCCCAACAGGGCCCCAAGACGGCCCAAGAGGGCCCCAAGATAGTCCAAAAGGGTGCCAAAAGAGCTCCACAAGAACCCCCAAGAAGGCCCAGAGACGCCAAGTAAACGAGCGTTCGGTAACGCAAAAAGTTCTTCACACCAAGGCTCCCAACAGCGAACGGCCTGAGGCCCACACACGGCCCAGTGACGGACACAGCTTTGACACCAAGGTCCCCGCTCCCGTACGCACGACGACGTGAAACGTCTGGGGAAGCCTTCGCAGGCTTCCCGCCCAGCTAATGCGCCCAGCCCAAGGCTCCCAGTACGAACGGCGGTGTGCGTAATTTCGGTCAAATTGTTGAAGCGCTCTTTCCGTTTCCGTGCCGGCCCCGGTAACGGAAAGAGCGAGGTACGAGTGATGACGTTTTGGTGTGGGCGAAGCCCTAAAGGGAGGGGTTCCAGGGGAGGGGGGTAGGGGGCGCATTTGCGTGTTAATGGCCGTTTTCGGGTTTTCCCTTAGGTTTTTGCATGTTTTTCGGGTTCCCCCCCAAGACGGCCCAAGAGCGCTCCAAGAAAGCCCAAGACCGCCCAAGACGGCCCAAGAGGCCCCCAAGAGGCCCCCAAGAGGCGCCCAAGGGGCGTCCCAAGAGGGCCCCAAGAGGCCGAAAACATCGATTTCCCAAAGGAAAACGTATATTTTTAGCATATGCGCTTTGTCGGCTTTCACGGCGTTGACGACGGCCCAAGAGGCCCCCAAGACCGCCCCAAGACGGCCCAAGAGGCTCCCAAGAGGCCCCCAAAACGGCCCAAGAGGGCCCCAAGACGGCCCAAGAGGCGCTCAAGACGGCCCAAGAGGGCGCCAAGACGGCCCCAAGAGGGGGACCACGAACCGAAAAGTCTAGCCTTTCGCCCCAAGACGCTCCCAGGAGGCCCCCAGAGCCCCCCACGAAGCCCCAAGAGGCCCCCAAGAGGCGTCCCAAGAGGCCACCGGGAGGCGAAATCATTGATTTCCGATTGGAAAATGTACATTTTTAGCATACAAGGCTTTTCGGCTTTCACTGCGTTGAAGACGCTCCAAGAAGCCCCCAAGACCGCCCCAAGACGGCCCAAGAGGCTCCCAAGAGGCCCCCAAAACGGCCCAAGAGGGCGCCAAGACGGCCCAAGAGGCGCCCAAGACGGCCCAAGAGGGCGCCAAGACGGCCCCAAGAGGGGGACCACGAACCGAAAAGTCTAGCCTTTCGCCCCAAGACGCTCCCAGGAGGCCCCCAGAGCCCCCCAAGAAGCCCCAAGAGGCCCCCAAGAGGTTCCCAAGAGGCCTCCAAAAGGGCCCGACAAGGGCCCCAATAGGACTCCCAAGAAGGCCCAGAGACGCCAAATAGAGAGCGATCGGTAACGCAAAAAGCTCTTCACACCAAGGCTCCCAAGAGCGAACGGTGACGTAAACAAGCTGATAAGACCAAGGCTCCCAGCAGAGAGCGGTGACGTAACATGTTCCTGACACCAAGGCCCAGCCAAGGCTCAGGAACGGGCGGCAACGCAACAATCTCTGAACACAAAGGCTCCCAAGAGCGCGGGATGACGTCACAAGCTCTCAACGCCAAGGCTCCCAGTACGAACGGTGGTGTGAGCAGTTTCGGTCAAGTTCTTGAAGCGCTCTTTCAGTTTCCGTGCCGGCCCAGGTAACGGAAAGCGCGAGGTATCGAAGACGCCTACGGCGAATCACCGCCGCCCCCTGCCTTTGTGGAAGCGCCTATGTGGCCGAACGTTGAGGCCAGACCTGCCAAGCCATCGGACCATGTGTTCCCCGAATCGGTTTGGAAAGCCTTCGGGGAACACGTGGGCGTCTTGATGGTCATCGTCGCCGTCTTGGAGGCCTCTTGGGCGATCTTTCGGCGATCTTTGGGGGCTCTTGGGCCGTCTCGGGCCGTCGGAAGGCCGAAAGAAGGGAAATGCCCAAATCCATCAAAAACCTTGGAAAATCAGTGATTTTGGCATCTTTTGGCCTTCCTGGAGGCCCTCTTGGGGGCCTCTTGGGCCCTTTTGGGCCAGCTTCGAGCCAACTTCGGCCATCTTGGTGGGTTCCTGGCACGTCTGACGCCGTCGGGAGCCGTTTTGGGGGCCTTTCTGGGCCAACGGGGGACCCTCTTGGGGCGCTCCAGGGCCGTCTTGGAGGCCATCTTGGGCGTCTTGGAGGCCATCTTGGGCGTGTTGGAGGCCTCTTGGGCCGTCTTGGGGCCCTCTAGGGGCCATCTTGGAGGCCACTTGGGCCATCAGGGGGCTCTCTTGGGGGCCTCTTGGGCGATCTTGGGGGCTTCTTGGGCCGTCTTGAGCCGTCGGAGAGCCGAAAAGGCGCAAATGCCAAGATCCTTCAAAAACCAAGGGAAAATCAATGATTTTGCCCTCTTCGGACTCTCCTGGAGGACCTCTTGGAGGCCTCTTGGGCCGTCTGGGAGGCCTCTGGGGGGCCTCTTGGGCCGTCTTGGGCCGTCTTGGACTCTCTTGGGCCGTTTTGGAGGCCGTCTTGGACCATCTCGGGCGGACTTGGAGGCCATCTTGGGCCATCTTCGCGATTTTTTGAGGATGTCCCGAGCGAAACGGCCGTTTTTGCGCACGGTGGCGGGTTCTGCCGGAGCCCACTGGGGAGTTCTTTTGGAAAAAGAACCAAAACCAAAACCTAACAGCTCGTCCAGCACGCCGTGCACCCCTGCAAGCAGGGGGCGGCGGATCTAATGGCCTTCGGCCCATCCCGCCACCGTGCTTGGGTTGTGGGTGAAGCCCTTCGGATGTTTGTTGGGATCTCGTGGGTTGGCCTTTCGGTGGCTTCTTGGAGGCAGTTTGGACGACGCCTCTTGGGGTTCTCTTGGGGGCCTCTTGGGCCCTTTTCTGGGCCTCTCGGCGGGCCTCTCGGGGGCTCTCCTGGGAGCCTCGTGGGTCCTCCTGGGCGCCTCCTTGGGACTCCTGGGGGCCTCTTGGGGCGGAAGGCTCGGATTCTGGGTTCGCGTGTCCTCTTCTGGGCCTTTTTTGGGGCCGTCTTGGGGCCCTCTTGGCCCGTTTTGGGTGTCTTTTGGGCGGTTTTGGGATCTCCTTGTGCCGTCCTGGGCCTTTTTGGAGGCCTCGTCGGCCGTTTTCATGCCCCCCAAACCGTCAAAAACCCAAAGATCATTTATGATTTTGGCCTCTTGGGTCCCTCTTGGGAGGCCTCTTGGAGGCCTCTTTGGGCGTCTTGGAGACCTCCTGGGCCGTCTTGGGGTCATCTCGAGCGTCTTGGAGCGATCGTTCGGTGACTCGGGGCCTTCTTGGATCATCTTGGGGGCTTCTTGGGGTCCTCTTGGCCCATCTTGGAAACCTCTTGGGTCCGAGCATCCTTCCCGAGACCCTCAAGCGACAACACTTCCCGGAGCCCAGGGGGCACGCGGGAAGCCCCAGGGGGCACGCGCCATGCCTCGCCAACTTTGGGAATCTGATGTCCAGGCCTCTTAAAAACACTTCAGGAGTGAGGACTGAGGCTTAGAGGATTAGCAAGGGCTCCCTCGAGGGCGCGAAGTTATTCGCGCTTCGCGCTTCGCGGTCCTCGTTCCTTCTCCCCCTCCTCCTCGTCCTCCTATTCTCCCTTTGGGAGGGCGGCGCGAGAGTGCGAAGTTATTCGCGCTTCGCGCAGCGCGAAGCGCGAAGTTGGGAGCCCTAGATTAGGCAAAGGACCCGCGGAACCGCCCACTCCGTGCCCAGAGGCACGGTGGCGGATAAGATCGAGATCGATTCGGGAACTGAGCCCTAATGTTCTTCGTGCTTGCTGAATGTTCTAGTGCATTCTGGGGGAGCGTACCCTCGAGTGTTCTTTAGCTTGGCTGGCCGATGGTCTTATGTTTTGAAGGATGTTTTTCTGTCCTAGGTCTGGCCGTATCTCATCTTTCCGCTCTCCCGTTTTGGTCTCCCCCTTCTCCTCCTCCTCCTCCTCCTCCTTCTCATCGCTTCCCACCCACAGCTCAGTCCCACATCTTCCTTGTCCTTCTCTTGCTCCTGCTTCTCCTTCTCCTACCGCTCCGCCCTCTCGCCTCCCCATGGCCACTCTTAGAGGGCGCGTTTTCCCTTTTCAACCAGGGGGAGAGGGATGAGAAGATGAGGAGGGGCCCTCTCGTTGTCAGCCGCCTCCTCCAAGGCAGATGCCCCGGTTGAAAAGGGAAAACGCGCCGTCTAAGAGTGGCCATGGGGAGGCGAGAGGGCGGAGCGGTAGGAGAAGGAGAAGCAGGAGCAAGAGAAGGACAAGGAAGATGTGGGACTGAGCTGTGGGTGGGAAGCGATGAGAGGAGGAGAGGAGGAGGAGGAGGAGGAGGAGGAGGAGGAGGAGGAGGAGGAGGAGGAGGAGGAGGAGGAGGAGGAGGAGGAGGAGGAGGAGGAGGAGGAGGAGGAGGAGGAGGGAGGAGGAGGAGGAGGAGGAGGAGGAGGAGGAGGAGGAGGAGGAGGAGGAGGAGGAGGAGGAGGAGGAGGAGGAGGAGGAGGAGGAGGAGGAGGAGGAGGAGGAGGAGGAGGACACTCCGCCCCGCAGCGAGCAGGCCGCCGTGGGCGCGCGCGCACAGCTTTCGCCCTCCCGCTGCGCACGCTGCGCGCGCGCCTCGGAGCGCGAAACTGCGGTTGCCTGCCTGCGGGGGCCCCACGGATGCCGTCGCAGCCTCAACTTCCAGACGTGCATGTTTCCATGCCACACGGGGCATCTCGTCATACGCCAAGGATTATGATGTTCCAACCTACTTTAGCCTTGATCACGAGAAAGAATGTCGAGCCCCTCAAAAAAGTACCGAAAATGGTTTTCACGTGTCGGGCCATGGGAGACACTCGTCCGACACTGTTTCGACACTGTTTCGACACCGTTTCGACACTGTTTCGACACTGTTTCGACACCTTTCTGGGCGCTCGAACTTATTTCTGGGTTATGTGGTCCTAAGCACGACGGGAGCAACAGAAGCCAGGGAAGCTGCTCGTCACTGCGCGCAGCATGCAGGACACTCTCGAGCGGCAGCCGGTGGGCGCCGGGGCGAGGAGAACATGTCCAGCATCGGCGACGTGGCGCATCCGGACATCACGTCCGCCGCTCGGTGCTTTCTCGATCGGGCTGGCCAGGTCAGCAAGGGTACACCTTATGCGATGCTTAAGAAAACCTAAGTTTTCGGCCAGAGTCTCGATTATTCTTAACTTTTCAATGTGAATCCCAAGATTTTTGATAGAAGTTCTGGGTTTTATTCAATTTCTGAGACTATGAATTTCTTAACCCATGATTTCTTAAGCATTTCGCAGGGTGTAAGCACTGCGGGCAGCGAGCGTAATGAGCACCATAGCTTTTTCCAGTGCTGCACCGTCCACCATTGGGACTCTGAAGCCCCAGCTTCCTGAAGCGGTGATGGTGAGGTTCAGATGATGGCGCCTGGCCGCAATTGTTTTCGCACCCAAGGCACATGTGCACCTGTCCCGTGACCCTGGCGCTCGGGGAGATTGCCCACATCCCGCGCGGGCGGTCTCGCGGGAGAACGCTGTCAAGTACAGGTGCGCCGGGGTCAGTTTTGAGATATGGGGCGCGACATCGTGTCATAGGGCGTGGCCGAACGAATGGCGAGGCTCGGCCACGCGCAGAGGAGGGCATGGGAGGGGGAAGGCTTCTTAGAAACACCCCCTGCTCCTTAGCAGGCGCGGGCCTCATCTGCAGATGCAAGGCCAGCGCCTTCTAAGTCTAAGATGCAGCCTCCTTCCAAGAAGTCTTCCCCCCTCCACCTGCCCCCTTGTGCACGCTGCCGGGAGGCATCGAGGCCGCCCACCGTTGCCCAGCAGCGTCCAGCTTCCGTCTCGTTCTCCACCTGCCTGTAGGTGTACATCAGGAACAACCGAACGTGGGTTGGGAACCTGGACACAATCAAATAGAAGACGTCCGCAGATGACAAATCCAGCATCTGATATTCACAGGGAGTAAACAAGTCACTGGCCTCACAAGTCAAGGGGTACGTCAACTGTCACATCTGTCCAAGGACTCGAGGATTCAACAAGCCACAAAGCATCATGTAGATACCAAGCTCAACAAGCATTCGCTCCAGTCAAGCACGATATCGTCGCTCTTGGCCGATTGCGGCGGCGACGAGGTGCTGGGCCATTATTTTTTTTCTCTCGCGCGGACGGGCCTACTCGACCAGGTTGCGGCTCTTGCCCCTCTCCTCCCGCCATGTCTCGAGTCCCGGGCCGAGGCCCGTGGGTGCCCCCGTTGGTGTCCCTATCGGGTGGGTTGTGCCCTGCTGCCTACAGTTTTGCTCGCAGTTGCCCGTCAATGCCGGGCCGACTGCCCGCAGTTGCCCGGTGGCCCACCCATTGAGCGATAAGGACGTGGGCGAAGGAGGGAGGATGAGGATGAGGTGGGAGGGGGAGGTGTTCACGAGTGCTCGTTTCGATTGCTCCGATTTGATTCGATTCGACTTCGATGGCTTCCGATTCCGACTCGAGTCGACTTGGGATTCCGATCTCGGTTCCGACTTCTCACTGGAGGCCTACTAGCCTGCCGATTTCCGCCGATTCGACTGACTCGGCTGCCGATTTCCGCCGACCCGATTCGTTTCGATCGCCGATCCGACTCATCGGTTCGATTCTGGGCTCTCCTGCTTGAGCGCCCGTTCGGCGCAGAATGGGTCTCCAGGCCTGCGGGGGGAAGGGAAGGGAGGGGCCGCCACACGAGGAGGACGAGGAGAAGGCTGCTGAATATTCGGAGTGGCCTGACAGTCTGACCCTCGTGCGGGAGAAGCGAAGAAATTGGCCAGGAGGCCCCGCGGCATGCCCCAGAGGGTCTGACAGCCAAGGCCTGCCTCGACGGGCGCATTGTCTTTCCTGCACTCCCTTTCGGGCGTGCGTTCGTGGGCTCACCCTGCATCTTAAGTCTTCAGGACTTTTTAGGGGGCCTCTTGAGGCCCTCCCGGGGCCCTCTTTCGGCTTCTTGGAGGCCTCTGGGGGACTTCTGGGGGGCGCCTCGGGGGCCTCCTGGAGGCCTCTGGGGGCATCCTGGGGACTCTTGGCCGCCTGTTGGCGTCTCGGGACTTCTGAGCCATCTTGGGGACGGAGGGCTCAAGTGTCGAGGAAGCGCAAGCATGGACTGAGGAGCGCGGATTAGCGACGGGTCTCGTTGCCGTAGATCCACGGATCCGTAACCCATGTTGGCGTGCATGCGGACGTGGCAATTCGAGTGCCCCTTCGCGGCTCCCTCTCGGGAGCCTCCTGGGCCCTTCCTGAGGGCCTCGGAGGCACTCTTGGGCAGGTCTTGGGGGCTTCTTGGGCCGTCTCGGGCGCCCTGAGGACAACGAACGCACCAAGTATGCGACTCTACGACGCCCCAAGAGGCTCTTAAGACAGCCCCAGGCTGGTCCCTTGGGGCTGCAGGGTGTTCCGAAGCCTTTTTGAGCTTTTCCTGGAAGGCTCTGGGGGGACGTCGGAGTCGGTTTGGGTGGGTTGGGCTTCCCGGAGGCCCACACGAGAAGTATCGAGACCACCCAAGACCTTTGGCTAGTTGATGGTCGCGGCCCGTAAACGATCCTTTTGACGCTCACAATTGTATGAGCCTTGGGGCAGTCCGTGCTGAAGGCACGGTGGTGGACTCCGCGCGCGCATCAGGTTCAATGTTGGCAGGGTGGCCGAGATTTCCGAGTACGATCAGCCGCTGCTGGAGAAGCGCACTGTGGAGTGCTTCACCTACGAAGGATTTTCTGGCGAGTCCCCAGCCTCCACTCGCATTCGCCCCCCTGCGGCAAACCCGAGGACATGACCCGATGCGGCTATTTTTCAGGCGGCTGATTCTGTTGACGCCACGGCCGCGAGCCACTGCTGGGGAACTGGGGCAGCAGCCGCGAAGTAGTTCGAATGGAAAAGATCACGAACGCTTGTCTGGAGTATCGAGAGGCCTGAGATCGCTCTCCTATCAGAAATGCGACCGACAACTATTTCTATTCTGCAAACAGCTACGAAGCTGTCAACACACATCATTCGATGTGAAATGGGCACGCTTGGCGAACTGCGTCTTGGACCATTCAAGCTTGCAGTCGAGGTCGATTTGCGCCTGCACGTTGAGACACCTGCCAGGCCGGCTGGACCTGCAGGGCCGTCTGCAGCATCTCTCTGCTTCCCGTCTCCACACCCTCCCTCTGGCCGCCCTCTCTGCCGAGGCTCTCGCGTAGCGGTGGCCGCACGTGTTCCCCAGGAACCTGGCGGCTGCGATTCGAAAGGGGCGGACTATCTGGTCTGGCCTGGTTTGGAGGAAGTGGTTTTGGTGGCTGGTGAGCTGCTTGGCGGGTCGGGTCGAGACCACCTGTGTGCCTGCGGGGGCCGTGAGCAGATGGAACGGAGCGAGCGATTGCCAAAGCTACCACCAGTGCCATTACCATTATCGTCATCGTCGGGCTTAAGCGAGGCGCGATCTCACCCAGACCCTCACCGTCCACCAAACCGCCTCGACCCAACTTGCCAGTGGGTGGGGGCGTCCACTCCCAGTGGGTGGGGGCGTCTCACATCGGGAAACCGCCCCCCCTCCCCCGACCCGACATTCGGGTCTTCGGGTTGGGTTTGGGTGGTCTGGTCCTGCAATAGTTTTCACAACAAATATTATTGCAGGCTCTTGCTTACTTGTCTGTGCTGGAGTGTTGCCGGCTCTCGTCGCGCATTCCCCTCTGGAAAAATCGTCTCGGCGACTGTTTCCTGGCGCGCGAGCTGTGGGGTGCCCTGCTGCGTCTTGTCGCGCGAGTGGTGCCTCCGCCCCTCCCCCGACCCGACATTCGGGTCTTCGGGTTGGGTTTGGGTGGTCTGGTCCTGCAATAGTTTTCACAACAAATATTATTGCAGGCTCTTGCTTACTTGTCTGTGCTGGAGTGTTGCCGGCTCTCGTCGCGCATTCCCCTCTGGAAAAATCGTCTCGGCGACTGTTTCCTGGCGCGCGAGCTGTGGGGTGCCCTGCTGCGTCTTGTCGCGCGAGTGGTGCCTCCGCCACAGCCCCCAGGGAAGAGTGGCGCCCGCTGTGGAAGTCCCATGGGTGGGACGCATGCGGGCGGTCCCAGTGGTGGCTTCGGTGGAGCTCCCTATGGGGCCACGAAACGTATGAGGGGTGTGCCAAATTTGGTTTCCGGGACGCATGCGGGCAGTCCCACTGGGGGCTTCGGCGGAGCTCCCTATGGGGCCACGAAGCGTTGTACTGGGTGGGTGAAAATGCCAAATTGGGTTTCCGAGACGCATGCGGACGGTCCCACTGGGGGCTTCGGTGGAGCTCTCTACGGGGTCACGAAACGCTGTAGTGGGTGGTGTGAAAATACCACATTGTGTTTCACGGACGCATGCGGACAGTCCCACTGGGGGCTTCGGTGGGGCTCTCTATGGGGCCACGAAGCGCTGTACTGGGTGGGGGGGAAATGCCAAATTAGATTTCCGGGACGCATGCGGACAGTCCCAGGGGCTTCGGTGGGGCTCTCTATGGGGCCACGAAGCGCTGTACAGGGGGGGGGGACGCATGCAGGCGGTAGCACTGGGACCTTCGGTGGGGCTCCCTATGGGGCCA